GGATTCGAACCTGCCACCTTAGGTGTATGTGGCTGGCGCCTTAGCCACTTGAGCCACAGGTGCCGAGCCCGGAAGGTGATTTTTATAGTGTAATGTGAAAGGCATTTGTTGTAATAATTGGAGAGATAATGACTTTGGATGCTTATTTGGTCACTCGCTCATGCTGCAGTTAGACAGGGAAGAATAAGTAGTACTTAATAAGAGAAGGTAGCTGGGTGTGGTGGTATGTGCCTGTAGTACAAGCTGCTCAGAGGCTGAGACAGGAGGATTGCTTGTGCCCAGGAAGTTGAGGTTGAAGTGAGCTAGGGAGAGGCCACCACACTACTCACGGTGACAGAGCAAGATAGTCTCAAGGGGTGGGGGAAGAAAGGCTGTTTTCTGGAGGAGAGATTATTTTGCATAAGTTTCAACAGCTTAGACTACTGGATAAAAGTATTGTGAAATTGACCATTTATAAATATAGATGAGAAACTTCTGAGTTACTCTATAAAGGAATGAGCTACTGTGACAGGTATTAAGCTTGCTTTCTCTACAAAGTCGGGGCTAGTTGGTCCCTAATAAGATTTTATAGAGAGATTCTTGCATTAAATACTTGCATTAAATACTTGCATCCGGTTGGACCGGATGATTTTAAGTGCAGTTCTTTATTTAGCTCATGGTAGGACTCCAGTGAACTACCTACAGTACACTTTCCATAACTTATGTCTCTTATTTACAAAAAGATTAGTGTCCAGGAGGCTCCTGTCGCTCAGTGGGTAGGGCGTCAGCTACATACACAGAGGCTGGCAGGTTTGAACTGGGCTCAGGCCAGTTAAAACAACAGTGACAAATGCAACAAAAAAAATAGCTGGGTGTTGTGACGGGCGCCTATAGTCTCAGCTACTTGGGAGGCTGAAGCAAGAGAATTGCTTAAGCCCAAGAGTTTGAAGTTGCTGTGAGTTGTGATGCCATAGCATTCTACCTAGGGCAATAGCTTGAAACTCTGTCTCAAAAAAAAAAAAAAAGAAAAATTAGTGCCCAAAACGTCTGTTACTTGTACTTTGGGAAGGTTTACACCAGTGGTAGAAATTTATTAAGATTTTCCAATTTATTTTTAATCCTCAGAGATAGGTTCCCACAGAACTCATGGAGATTAAAATGGAAAATTCCATATTGTAAGCATGTTTTAAATGCCATTACTTCTGGGACGTTTTATAGTAGGAATTTTTCTACTATGTCTTTGCTGTTTTAATTTTACCTATTGTAGCTAACAGTCATTATGATAAGCTTTCCAGAAGAAACAAGTATAGAAAACTAGAAGGTTTGTTTGTTGATAAAAGAGATTGGGTGGCTTCTTATTTCGCAGTTGTGCTAAAATAGTTTTGTATGTGTATGCTTTAGATTTCAGAAGAAAGTGGTATCTTCATTTCCTAAAACCGTGCTGACCCAAGGAATGGATAACCGGTACTTGGTGTTAGCAGTGGATGTTGTACAGAATGAAGAGGGAAACCATGAAAAGCAACTAATCATCACTGCTTCCCAGTCACTGGAATATAAAGAACGATGCATCCTTAGGAATGACTGGTAATTCTTTTTTTTTTTTTTTT